CCACAGTCTAGCTATTGTGAATTGTGCTGCTATGAACATTGATGTAGCTGTGTCCCTGTTGTATGCTCTTTTTAGGTCTTTTGGGTATAGTCCAAGAAGGGGAATAGCTGGGTCAAATGGTGGTTCCATTCCCAGCTTTCCAAGGAATCCCCATACTGCTTTCCAAATTGGCTGTACCAATTTTCAGTCCCACCAGCAATGTATAAGTGTATCCTTTTCCCCACATCCTCGTCAGCACTTGTTATTGTTTGACTTCATAATGGCTGCCATTCTTACTGGAGTGAGATGGTATCTTAGAGTGGTTTTAATTTGCATTTCTCTGATTGCTAGAAATGGTGAGCATTTTTTCATATATTTGTTGATTGATTGTATGTCCTCCTCTGAGAAGTGTCTGTTCAGATCCTTGGCCCATTTGTTGATTGTGTTATTTGTTTTCTTGTTGTTTAATGTTTTGAGTTTTTTGTATACTCTGGAGATTAGAGCTCTATCTGAAGTGTGAGGGGTAAATATTTGTTCCCAGGATGTAGGCTCCCTATTTATCTCTCTTATTGTTTCTCTTGCTGAGAAAAACTTTTTAGTTTGAGTATGTCCCATTTGTTGATTCTTGATTTTAATTCTTGTGCTATAAGTGTCCTATTAAGGAATTTGGAGCCCGACCCCAAGAGATGGAGATACTTGGGAATCAACCTAACAAAAGAGGTGAAAGAACTATACAACGAAAACTACAGAACCCTAAAAAGAGAAATAGAAGAAGACCTTAGAAGGTGGAAAAGATATACCTTGTTCATGGATAGCCAGAACTAATATCATTAAAATGGCCATATTACCAAAAGTACTCTATAGGTTTAATGCAATGTCAATCAAAATCCCAACGGCATTCCTCGCAGAAATAGAAAAAGCAATCATGAAATTCATCTGGAAAAATAAAACACCCAGAATAGCAAAAGCAATTCTAAACAGGAAGAGTGAAACTGGCGGTATAGCAATACCAGATTTTAACCTACACTAGAGAGCAATAGTAACAAAAACAACATGGTACTGGTACCAAAACAGGCAGGTAGACCAATGGTATAGAATAGAGGACACAGAGACCAATCCACAAAATTACAACTACCTTATATTAGACAAAGTTGCCAAAAGCATGCAATGGAGAAAGGATAGCATCTTCAACAAATGGTGCTGGGAGAACTGGAAATCCATATGCAACAAAATGAAATTGAATCCCTTTCTCTCACCTTGCACAAAAATTAACTCAAAATGGATCAAGGAGCTAGGAATCAAACCAGAAACTTTGTGTCTAATAGAAGAAAAAGTTGAACTTGATGAATTCTTACAAGTGCCTGTTTTCTATTCTTGCAATGATCACATATATACTCTTATTTAGTTATAATTTTCTAGTGAAATATAGTGCCCAAGTATGGGCATTCCCTGTCTTGGCAAGGAGGTTGCATGGTAAGCGTCTTGCAGACTCCACAGTGGCTCTTTGTCTCTTCCAGGCAAAGACACTTGCTGCCCTCTGTGACATCTGCTGCTGCTGCCATCACTGCCATCATGGTGCAGGGAAACCATGAGCAGCTCCAAGATGTGTGTAAATACATGAGAGGCACAAGTTAATTGTTCTGTGCACAGGTTGCTTGAAAGCAAAAGTGTGAGCTCTGCTGCTGTGGGTAGAGATGAGAATGAACACCACGGAAAGTTTGTGTCCTCCCCAACACATATTAAATGCAACCCCACAGTGGTAGTATTGGAGGTGGGGTGTTCAGGAGGTGCTCCATCAGTCATAATGCAGGACCTCACAAATGAGTGGGAGCTCTGAAAATCACTTCTGAGGAGCTTGTTCACCCTCACCTCACATGGGGACACAGAACGAGGGCACCGTGTTTAACCTGGATGCGGCCCTCACCTTGCACGGAATCTTCAGGGATAGATTTACATTGCTCATTTGCCTCCTACCTAAAGGTGTCTTGTTATTGCAGCTTCAATGCACGAAGGTACAATCTTTGCTGTTCTGGTGGCTTGCTGTCCCTGGAACGAATCCAAAGGATACGGGATTCAGCAGAGGTGCTGAGTGCAGGCCCTGTGTTCATACTAGATAGTGAACGGTGGAGGCCACCAGGAGCCTGGTCCACTCTCCTCTGAAACACCATGGTCTTGGGGAACTCATGTCAGCACTGTGCCCTGTAATATCAGCATTGGAATCTCTCAATCCCCTCTTGCTGATGTGGAAGCTGAGCACACAAACAAAACGACCCTTGTAACACCCCTCTAAGGCAGAGCTGAGGTGCCAGAAGGAGGAAGCACCAAGGTGACACACAACTCCTGCAGAACAGCCCCAGCAGGACAATCCAGGGAAACTGTTACCTTCAAGACTGCCACTACCACTGTTGATGGAGCTGTCCACCATGACCTTGAGACTAGGTTTACCAAGTAGCTGCTGGACTCCCTTCAGAGCTTGCCTGCTCACTGAACAACTCCTGCAGATTCCTCCTAATAAGCCCTCAACCTCCCTGTGTTCTCCAGAGACACTTAAGTCCACCCAGCCTGTGCACTGGTATCCTGCAGGCTTTATTCCCAGAGAAAAATCTATTTCTGAAGATTCATCTATGTTTGCATGTTTGATTGACTTGTAACACTGATGTTGCTGCAGAGGTCACAGTTAATCTAATATGTCATGCCCATAACTGTGGACGACCAGCAAATATGGAGAACCACAGGATCTCAGAAATGACTTTGTGAAATCCTTTGCCCTAGCAAGTCCTCTGGCTCAGGAGTACAATAAAGCAACACCCACTGACATGGGACTGCACCCACTAAGGCACTTCTTTCCTCTTAGCCCATGACATTAGGAAGCTGCATGTAGAAAACACAGAGAGAAGTTCAAATTTCTGCCATCCAATACCTTCTCTAGAAGCTTCTACTGTAGATAATCTTGAGTGTTGGGCAAATGTTACCTCTTGGGGAGACTCACCCACATTATCTCCACCTCACAGTGTCCCTAGAGCCCTCTTCATTATGCATCATTTTAGCCATTTCAGAAAACTATGAATCTGCAGTCATTATATTGCCTTCCTCTCATTAATTAAATTTTATCCTCCAACTGTGAGATGCAAAATTTAGAGCACATGTTATCTGTTTTAAAGTGGACAGTGTGTGCATTCACAGTTTTATTATAAATTGATTTAATAAAGTTTAATTTATGGAAAGAAAAAGGTACTGCTTTCTTTCTATATTGACAGATGAATATCTTTTTTTCACAAATATCTTTCAGCAGTGTGATAATGTGGAATGTAGTAATGATTAACTTCCTGATTTAAGAAAAACCTCAACCAAGGTACTCACTTTTTTTCTCGTTGCCTTTAAAATGTGTGTGGGGGAAAAAAAAAACAATTATATCCAGGAGTAGGTGTTTTATCAAAAGTCTCTGAGTAGTGAGTACATACAACATTGCCTGTCACCCAAAGGTGGGTATGTAATGTTCCATAAAATGGAGGTCAGATTAACATTTTGGCCTTAAATGAGTCCTTTTATTCCAACTCCACAAGTCCAAAAAATTAAAAAAAAAAAACTTTATACTTCCATCTCCTAATTATTCAAAAATATTTTTATCCACCTCCATCATTATAACCACAGCCATTAATGTCCATAGAATTTTCTAGTTACATTCAAATTGGCATTGAAATCAGATTGTATCACACAAGATTTTAAATTGAAGGGGAATGAAAGAAATTAGCATCCACTAGAAGAAAAATGAAGGAACACTTGAAAGCCAAATGGTGGCTCAGAGCAATCAGGCTGCAGGTGTTCACCAAGGACAGTGCCCAGCACACACATAAGAAGAGCAATCAGGCTGCATGTCCAGGACCATCCAAAGTGTTGAATGAAGAAGGTGAACAGGGCAATAAACACACATAAAAAGTGTAGCGTTTGTCCTCAAGGCAAAATTACACATAACATGGCCAGAGAATAATTAAAGATGTGAAAAACAGGTTTCTAGGAGCCACATGGAGTTCCACATCACTTCAAGCAAGACTAACATTAAAAATTTTAAAAAAAATGAATGCTAGATTTTAAGAGTACATAGGACAATGCTTTATCCCAAGAACAGAAATCATGGAACAGTTCTCGCAGAGGGAGAGGATTACAAATCAACCAGCTCTTGCATTTTTGTAGACACTGACCATATGTGGTGTGGATACTTGAAATGTGGAGAGTAATATGAAGCCATGGTAAATATCAACCTCATAAGAATTTTGTTACACTAATATTAATATGTATACAATCAAATGGTGTAAAATAGAGTATGATATAAAATAATCTATAATTTTTATTATTAATAATTTTAAAAGAACTAAAAAATATCAGTTTGATTAATATTAACATGGATTGCAATGTTTTCAATTAAATAAAAATATTAATAATAAATATAGAAGCTTATAAACATCAAAATATCATTTAAATTAATTTTACAGTTAAACGTGTAACTGGAAAACTTTAATTGCATATGAGTCTTATACTTTCTATTGGACACCACAGCTCTCTGCCTGGGAGAAGCAATAGCAAGGAGCAGGGATAGCCACGGTCACTTCTTCCTGGAGGAGAACATCCCCCACATTCTCCTCATGGCCCCCAGGACCTCCTTGTTCCTCAGGCTGTAGACAATTGGGTTGAGCATGGGGGTGAGGACGCTGTAGAAAACTGCAAGGATCTTGTCCTCTTCTGGTGAGCGGAGACTCCTGGGACGGAGATAAGTGTAGACAAAAGGTGTGTAGTAAAATATCACCACAGTTAAATGTGTGGCACACGTGGTGAAGGCCTTTTTCCTCCCCTCTTTTGAGCGCATGTGGAAGACAGCAAAAAGGACCCGTCCATAGGACATGGTGATGCCAAGGAATGGAAGGAGGAGAAACAGGACTGCACTCACAAACACCATGTACTCATAGTCCCAGGTGTCCACACAGGCCAGAGGCATCATGGCTGGGATGTCACAGTAGAAATGATTGATGGCTCTAGACCTGCAGTAAGGAATCTGAAAAGTATAGATGGTGTGTGCCAGGGAGTTGATGGAGCTCAGTGTCCAGGACCCCAGGATCATCTTCACACATACCCTTTTACTCATGCGGATGGGGTAGTGGAGGGGGTGGCAGATGGCCACAAAGCGGTCATAGGCCATGGAGGGCAGAAGTAAGCCTTCAGAACATGCCAATGTCACAAAGAAGAAGATTTGTACACCACAGCCCAGGAAGGAGATGCTTTTCTGCCCAGACAGGAAGTTGTATGTCATCTTGGGGACTGTGGAGGAGATGTACATCAGGTCCATGAGGGAGAGCTGGCTGAGGAGAAAGTACATGGGGGTGTGGAGCCGGGGGTCCAAGAAGATGAGGGCAGTCATCCCTGAGTTCCCCAAACAGG